CTCTGTGTGTCTCCGCGGGTGTCTGTTTTAATTAGGCACTTCGTAGATACGTGTGTCGCACGTATATAAGTATATCGCGTATGCGCCAGGATATACGACGTTAATGTAGATACATAAGCGACGCTACCACTACCTCCGCCACATTCCGCCTATACTTGGCGATCCGACGAGCTTGAATGCGGTCGATGGGTGGTTGAGTAAGGATTATAGACGCAGGTAACACATGCATAGGGCGAAGTCGGGGCGGCTTGCCGATGGGTGGTATCAGTGATGGCTCGAGGAGATGAAGAGGGACGATATGCGCGAAGGGATGATGGAGGAATTCCTCTTCTGATTCTTCTCGCGCACGTAACCTTCTCCGACTGACTGCTGATAAGAGTACACGAAATTATCTTAATTGGCAGTAAAATCAATTCAGAAATGATCGAACGAAGAGAGTCCTCTTCTCGTCTCTCCGTTCATCTATATCGTGCCGTTTCTTTTTTTCAGCGACTTTGAATAGAGTGAACGTTCCGGAAGAATGCGTTGTTTTCTTCGACAGAAGAAAGATTCTTGACCTTTCCCAATCTCCAAGCATAACGAATAAAAAACGATGTCTATCTTGGTATGAAAATGGACCAGTTATGATTTCATGAGCAAGTAATGAAAATTTGAATGGCTTGACATGATTGAAAAATATTCTACTAATCATCGCTACACATCCTATATTGTCCTATTTGTTGCTGTTTTCTCTAGAAAAATTAAGGTTTCAATTCGTCAGGCAAAAGCAATCTTAAAAATTACTTTCAACGAACGATAAGCGAACATTTGCAGCTTTACATTATCGAGTATTTAACAATGATGACTTATACAAATCATGCTTTCTCGTTGAACTGTTTCACTTTTGCATCCCCGAGGGATCCAACAACTGCGCTACTGATTCTACGAAAATACTCGATTGATGCTAATATGCAACTGAAAATGAATTTTATTTATTATTAGAAGTAGAAAATCATAATGAGGAAGCATAAAAAATCGTTGACATAAATCGCGTTGTAAGAAACTTAGACTTTATATTTTTCTAATCACATTTATAATGAATAAGATATATTAAAAATATTACATACAAAAAGCAATTGCAAACTCGAAATTTAACGAAAAACGTTTTGAAAGCTTACAAACAAAATTCAAAACGACGGTAAACATCTGCGAAAAAAAAAGGTCCGGAACTTGTATTAATAATTTTCCTCGGCGCATATAGTGCGTTCGTATTTTTTATATTTTTCTTCTCCTTCCACGCGCGTTGTTTGCAAGGAGGGCTACCCTTCGCGTTTATTTCCCCTTCGAAAGCTCGGATCGCCGTTCCTATATCAATTATACATCAATTAACGAGTCACGTTTGTTATTACGCATTAATTAATGAACGTAAAGGTAACTTTGAAACGAGCGATTTTTCCTGCTACAGACTGAATGAAAGAAGATTGTGTAATTTTGCGTTGATTATATGTCATATGTCTGGCTAGAATTGCGAGAACATTATGTCTTTAGTGTGGCTGACGCGATAGATTTTTCGTTTCTTTACGTCTGTTCTTTGCGTCCGCTTAACATCGAGGAGAGCTTTCCATAGAGCTCTCCATATGCATCGTCCCCTTCCTTCTTTTTTCATCTTCTTCCGCTTACGTCAGACCAATGTTAGCATCGATCTTTAATTAATTATCGATGACGCATTAGCGTTGTTACTGTCTGTCGCGGAGAAACCAGGCGAGACAAGAATCAACCGCGATGACGTAGAAAGATTTATTATTAATTGACAACCTCGCACATCGGGCCATTCTTATATTAAAAACTTATATTAATCCATTATCCAAAGCCAAATCGTATTATATATAAATATTTAAATTGTATTAAAATTTTATACGCATTTTTGCGGACTAACGAAGCAATCTGCGTTGTCTAATAGGATGTCTTTTTAAAATTTTGTTTCAGGGAGTTCTATTATATCCAAATGGAGAAATACGCGAGACAAGCAGTTTCGGAGGGCGTGAAGAACGCCGAAGATCTCCGAGTCGGTGGCGACTCCGAAATCTACCGGGTTCTCAACCTTCACTACAACCGTAATAACCACATTGAGGTATGGGGTCCTCAGGTGCGCAACACGAACACGCACACGCTACATTTTATTTTATTTTTCTACCGATATTGTTTCGCAAATCGCGAGAAAAGACGAGCATGTATATATCTTCGCTACATAGAGATCAGACGTCGGATTATTGATCAATTGGTTTTATAAAATTAAGCTTTCGGTGTTAGTATCTATCGTACGTTTATATAAAATATTTCACGTGCGTCTTTGTGGTTCACTGTAACTATAATTGTGTTTGCACGTTTTATCGTAAAAAGTATATGCTCAAGATATTTATTGCCTGATTAATACTGAAATGAAATTCTATAACACTATTAGTTGAAAGGTTCAATGCACATAATATGTTAGATATTTAATTTTCTTTAACAAATTAAATGAATCAATCTTGACTGTTGAAAAAAAATTAATTTACATTAGTTTTCTCAGATTCTTAAATTGTACATAATATTTCTATTGTAGCCCTTCAATTAATAGTTAATTTAGTATTATTTTAATAAATTATATAATATTATATTACATATGGTTTTTTCTCGTATTTATATAAAAATAGATAATTTGGAGAAAAATGAATCAAAGATAAAAAGTATATGTTGAAAATTTCAAGAAGGATTACATTTTTCATAAAATTGCATTACGTAGAATATCATACGTTGTGACATTCACAGTGATGTTTCTTGTTATAAAAATATTTGGATCGTAAAACCAATATGTACTTTGCTATCTGTAACTGCGAGTGCTAACAGTGACGTGGAATTTTCAGGTACCCAGCAACTTTAGGTACGTTGTGGAACAGACGTTGAAAGAGTTTTTCAAGGCGATTCAGGGCGGTAAGGACTCCGAGCAAAGCTGGAAGAAGTCCATCTACAAGGTGATTTCGAGGTTGGACGATCCAGTGCCGGAGTATTTCAAGAGCCCGAACTTCCTGGAGCAGCTCGAATGAATCAGGAGGTCGCGTGGCTCTTGCTCTTCGTGGTGCGCGGGCTCGCCCGCGCTCGTCGGCTCCCGATAATCAGGAACGACCAACGAGGGAGGATTGCATCCGCCAGGAGGTACACGTCCTTCACGTAGTGCGTGTTCAGGTATCCTTAAATAACATATCGCAAAACGAACGAGGGCTAGGAAAGGAGAGGAGACACGGACAAAGCCAAGGAACAGAGGCACCATCGACGTCCGAGGTCGACGTCAAGATGCCAACGAAGGATCAGGCTGTGACTGAATTACGAATCAAACAGGAAAGACAGAAGAAACGTACGCATATACATGTGCACACGAACACACACATACATAGACATACGTCCATTAAAAAAATACTGCGAATCTACGGCTGACGAAACTCGACAGTCGCCAAAGTGTCGAATGTTCATCGACGTTCCTCTTGTTTCAACTGAACGAGCACGAGAAGGTGATTCCTGGGACGAGACGAAGAAGCATGACGAATGCGTGGTCAACGAATGGCGAGAATAGCTTTTAGCGTCGATTTTGTCCGATCTGTTTGTAACGTAGAGTAATTACTTCGTTACCGCCTAATTTTACATCACACGATAAGAATAGGGATTTAAAGACGATGACACTGCTGGGGTTATACTCACAGAGAAAAATGAAAACTTTTGCGAGCATATCCAAAGATTGACTAAGTCTGAACATCGCACGGCGATTCCTCTTCTGATTCGAATAAGACCTGGAAGCGGAATCTTCGTCGACCAGAAGCAATGCAGGACGAGCAGCTTCTTATCCTGCATCGTTTCTGTAGAGAAATATTTATGGATGAGGAGAAAACCTTGCGCTAAGACTATTTCGGATAATCCTATTTTGAACTCTGCAAGTAACTTCGGTTTTGCGAAAATCGATACTCTCTGATAAAATTCTGAAAAACTTCTTATCGCCGAATGAACCGTAATGGCATTCATACTTCGATAAGAAATCATTTTTGCTGCATACATGTGCTTTTTTCTTTTTTTTTTTCAGGAAAAATAAAATCTCCGATTATTTAAAAGTATGAGATTCACCTCGATGCTATCCGTTATCAAAATAGATATCAATCTTTCCTTATATTATAGATAATTTCATTTTACCGCATATAATTGATCAACGAGGTTCGAGATCGACGTGAAAATGCTTGGCTATTAAATTATATCGCGTGAGAGAATCATATAAGAAACGGCGCGATGAAACGATCGTGCACACATCGATACCAAAGAATCGACTTCACGAGAATCAAATGCGTAACGTCATTTGAGTAATTGAGGGACCGCTCATAGTAATTTCCGCATAAAGAACCTGTTTCTATCTGCTGAGGAAGAGATTCCTCCGTTTTTCTGTTTTCCCGCATTTTTTCTTTTTTTTTTTCGCTCGCTGAATATTACTTGTCGAGTCGATAAAGAATACATTTGTCGAAAATGCACATGTTGCATTGAGAGGATCGGTGCACGGGTCAATATATATAGCTGTTTTTATTAATGGTTGATTGTATAAACGAGATTAGGCTAGTCGTAGTGATGAGATTAGGAATAAAATACGGGCGACGAAGTTGCAGGTCGGATGCAATGTATGAGAATTGTGCGCCGGCAGCATTTAAACTGTAGTGTTGCAAGTCCAAAAAAAAAAAAGAAAAGAAAAGAAAGCTAAAAGAGTGCTATATAATCGTGCGCCGATGCGATAATTATATAAATATTAGACTTTTAAAACGAAAAAGAGATGGATATTGGCGTGATTTAAGTAGTATAAAGAAAACGTGCGCCAGAGGGTTGCATAATCGCGCTTCCTTTTCTTCGTTTATTTTATCCCCGACCCATCTTACGTACAGACTTACGGACACGCGACACGCACGTCACTACATGCGATTTCACTTGCACTATGCGATCACGCGCGCGAACATGCGAGAAATCAAGGACGGCGCCCTTACACTCTTACTTGTGACCTTATTTTTTCACTAGAACTTTCTGTAGATAATTACAAGACGGTATAAAAATATTAGGGATAACTCAAGTAGTAGCGAATGCACATAATTTAACTCATATTTTTTCACCATTATTCTCGCTACTTCGTGCACTATTATTATTATTACTATTATTATTATTATCATTATTATATATTGCTATTATTATTGTATTATTATTATATTATTATTAATATATTATTATATTATTATTATTATTAGACTCACTATTATCTATATCAATATGACAATTTTAATATGAAATTATTATAATTATTAATATTATTATTGTCATCGTTGAAATTGTCATTTACGGAACATTTAGTTAATTTTTAATTAACCCTGCCTTCTTCTTCATATGCAATTTCCACGCCGCTCTTTCATATTACTAATTTTTATCTTCATCTTATTTTTATGAATTCTCTTCCTTCATTACTTTGCCGTTCTTTTTGTCAAGCTTATTTATTTTGTGCTTGACATTACGCTTTATTTTTAGTTATTATGTATATTTAGTTATATTATGATAATAATTATATTAAAATTATGCCCCTCAGTAGTTTGTATCGGGCTATACACACAAAAAAAACGTACACACACACATCTTTTTGCAAGCGGTGAGTCTTAACCTAGTCACGAGTCACTATTTTTTAATTGATTAATGATCGATTTATTGATTATTATTTTATTTATTAATTACGACAATAAAAAGAGAAAATGAATTGAAATTTTATTTGCGTTTGATTTTGCGTCATTTCACTTTTATTTCTACATTAACTGATACCCTTTCCTATGTTCAGAGAGAATCCGAAACTATTATATACATATATAGAAAAAGACAAAAAGAAAAAAATGGTCTTGATTTCAGATTCGGAATATTCTTGATTACCTGTTAGATCTAACTTTTTTCGTAGGAAGATGTGAAAAGACTCGAATGTACCCGTGAATTTGCGATCGGCGAGATTAACGAGAATGGAGGCAAGTAGCCTTTTTCCAAATTTGAACATGCGTTGTGGAATGGTCGAAGCAAAAACGAAATTTTGAAAATTTCAACTTTTTATTATATCGTATATACTAGGCCTAAAATTAGTAGCGACTCCTTCGGCACTGGCCTAAGATTTTGGTCTAAACATTTATAATAAGAGAGAAGAATAGAATAGCGAATGAATAAAGAAGGGATGAGGGAGATATTTGGATATTTTTTAAAAGAGCATTATAGGATACACGTCATCTGAATTCGATGACTCGCTTGTCGCAATAGGGTAACTTAACATTCGAGGCAATAGACGCAGATAAAAAATTACTTTTTGGAAAATTATGTTATTATTATATTTAAGTTAAATTCTTTTTAATTTAAATTTTCAAAGAATATTTTCGGAGCTAATTTATAATATATCCAATAATCATTGATAAAACTTATAATTACATTTTTTTTATTCGCTTTTATAATCAACTTCTGATTGCATTATTGAGATTATTTCAATCAAATATATCCTATCCTTTTTGTTACCATGTGTCATGATACATTAAAAGGTCATTAAGAGGCTTTAATTTAATGGTACACGAAGAATTGTAAAAGGTAATACTCGGAATTAAATTATAATATTAATGTTTTGCATAATGATTGGTTTTTCACTAACAGAAAACAAATCAACGTATAATACATTCCAATATAATATATCCAGATTAAACGCAAAGACAACACTTAAAATCTAATTTAATAGTCCCTGCGAACATTGAATTGTATTTCTCGCATCGTATCTCGATCCTAAAAGCTTTGCGCTTTCACGTCGATACGCGTTAATAGTAATCTCAGTTAATCATTAATACAACGTTACATAATTTTTGACGCTAGATCTCAGCATTAAATACAATCTTGTCATATAAAATATTCTACTTCAATATTAACCAACAAGACACAAGTCGATTAACTATCGTTCTCATTCTCTTTTCTTCGATTGCACTGGATATACGAGAAATAAAATAATTTTCGTACCTTCAGCGGCAATCACACAATTGTGAAATATGTCTACAATCATTTCATCATACTGTAAATGATCATTCCGCTCTTTCAAACATTATCCGTACTTAAAAAAAAAAGTAACTATCATTGCAACATTAAAATAACGTTCTCTAAATCGTAACCGTGCTACAATGGAATTCAATATTACAAGATTTAATCTTCCTTACTTTCGCGACAATTATTTTCAAAAAAACCGTCAATCACATATGTACGTATTATAATGAATTAAATTAATTACTTGACACTATTTCGACTCCGTATATTCTTCGCTACTGAAATATGACCACAAGCTTGGGAAAATTGTAAGCAAAAAATTGACAAGCATAATAATCTTCAAGGCCAATTTGAATTTCCCCAGTCGCCTTTGTCAGGGGATAAGCTGAAACATCAGAGGAATTTTCGTATGGTCGTTTATTCGTAAAACTCTGAGAATTAGGAATTATTATGACACATAACTCTCGCATGATCCTTCGAGGCCATCTATTACAAATTCAAAATGAGATAAGAATAAGAGTTCGCTTCTTTCATTTCTCCGTCGACCGAGAATTGAAGCTCCTAGCGCGAAGGACAAATCGTTCTTTATAAATATTATAGCAGATGTACTCGAGCCACGAAGAGACTCGAGACTCAGAAAAAAAAAGTATCTGAACAATGGTAACGAATAGCAATTGGTGGTTCATCGCGATCGCCGAAATTTCTCTTATCGAGGGGAGAATCAGCCGCGCTCTTTATCTCCCGATCGATACTACTGGTCTCGATCTACCGACGCGACATAGATCGTGGGACGAAACTGGCGATGAACAGCACGAGCGCAAAGAAAGGGGCAAATTCGCAACGATTTTACGGATGCGCGTACAATGAGAATGGAACGAACGTAAGAAGGGCAGACGGCGAGATCGACGAGATGTACTAGAAGAATGTAGTGACGAAGAGACACACATTCCTAAAGAACGAAGACGAAAGATTTAAAGTCGTTCACTTACGAAAAAAAAAA